TCATCGCCATCTCTTGTACCACCAAGGTAGGGGATGTGAGGGCGATCTGGCTGCAACATGTCACCCCATTGATCGCCAGGGTTGATTCGGCTGATCTGGCTGGCTAGGCGGGTGTCCCCTTCCTCCCTCAGTGCTCCACGTGTGTCCCTCCCAAAGCTGCGCGCTCAGTCGAAGAGGACGACCACCCTCGGTAGAGGAAGACCGTTCCTCGGTCAAGGGTACACGAGTAGCTGCGCTCCCCTGCTAGAACCTCCAAACAAGCTCTCAAGGTCCACCAAGGAAGGAACAGTTGTTACACAGTGCTGCTTGCAGTGCAGTCCTAGTATAGAAGTAACGTTTTGATTCTAACTGTATGTGAGTGCAGAGATATAAGATACTGTGTGGCAGTTATTTAGCTGCTTTCTTTACATACCCATGCTAAAATGTTTTTTTTAACAGAACAGGTAATCTTGTCTTAAAGAATTGAGATAATTCTTCTAAATGCAAACTCCTGACCCCTGTGTGCAGTATGTCTGGCATGTACCAAAAGGTGTGCGTTCACTAGCCCTGCCAGTGGGCAACTCCTGCCCATCACAGAATTATGCTCTGCTGAGCTGCTGGTGCAGGCAGGCCTGAGGGGCCTGTAAGGCAATGCTAGAAAGAGGCTATGTCTACAATGCTGGTATCCACAAGCAGCGCCCCAGCCAGCCGCCTTGTCACCCTGTCTCTCCTGCTGCCACCTCCTTCTCCACAGGTGGTTCTTGTTGAACCGAAGGGCGCCTGTTGAAACTTGATGGTGAAGAAGATGGGTGCAGCTGTCCATTAGCTGCCTGCCTGCCTGCCTGCCTGCCTGCCTGGCACCCCACATAGGAGGAGGCAGGACACGGGCCTTCCTTAACAGAGCTGTGGAGTCAGGGGCCTCACCATCCTGGGTTGCTAGTCTCAGAGCCCATGGAGAGTGGACGAGAACTGACCGAACTGAAGTGGGCTATGCATCGGGGCATTTCCAGAAGGCAGAGGCCTTTCTTGCCTTGGAAAGGGAAGCCCTAATAGCAGATGGCAGGCTGCAGACACCTGGACTTTGTACTGGGTGGGGTCTTCCGCACCTCACCTGCCACGACTCCCTTCACCCTCCTCAGGAGGTCTCGACTTCTCTGGGTGATGTAGTCTTTTTTGGTTTTTGGTTTTTTTTCCACTACTGGGAATTGAACTCACGACCTTACACTTGCCCAGCAGGCGCTGTGCCGCTGAGCTAAATCCCCAGCCCCTGGGTGATGTAGTCTTAATGTTACAGTTATAAAACGGCATAGACCATTCTTGGGTGAGCCCTTAGGCTTCTGATATGCATTGGCTCACCTTTTCCTGCTTCCACCTCAGCTTCCCAGAAGGTCTTGTGAGGAGCTAGTGCTGAACTGCCCAGCTAGACCTCTGCCCCTTTGCCGATGCAGGGACAGACACATCTGTAAGCTCAGGCTCTTGATACTCAGCATGCTTCAGCGCTTTCCCTCCTCAGCAGTCTGTTCTACACTGCCGCTGCCCCAAGCCCTTAAGAGAGAGGCGGTGTAACTTACTGCAGCATTGCAGCACCAGAGTGAAGTTAAATAGTGCTGTTTCTCACTATGTGCCAGCAGGTAGCTTGAGCGGCTTGTAAGACAGGAGAGAGACCCATACGGCCAGTGCCTACCTGTAACCCCCACTTGCCTACATGGAATGCACTGCCAAGCCTCTTAAGAGGCAGCAGCCCTGGTTCTTGTTGCTTCGGCCAAGACTGGCCCAGCAGTGGAGGAGCACGGACTGTTTCTGCTTTGTGGGAGTGACCGTGATAGAATGGCAGGCTGCTACTGAGCTCTTCTTGCTTTTCTCCTTGGGTTCCCCAACCCTTCTCATAGCACTGCCCTAAGCAGCTCATCTCCTTGTCCTCTTTGCAGGCCTTAGTGTGTGGCTCCCTTTCTCTGTCGTCTCTCTTTGTGTAAAACCCAAGGAACCTGATGGTACATATTTTGTAACCCTGCTCTGTGTGTACCCTGGGAAGGTACTTGTGCTAGATGGCAGTCCTACTGCTGGGAGCAGGGCTCTTATCTCTGCCTGTGGCGTTTTGTTTATGACCTGTGGGACTGATCCAGCACCCCAGCACCCCCCTCCTCCAAAAAAAAAGAACGAAAAGGAGTTGGAAAACCAGCTGAACACAGGCCAGTGGGATGGAGCACTTCCTTTGGCAAGAGTGCAGCCTGCAATGATGGCGATGGGAGATGGCTTTGCCCCTTTCTTCTCTCTTTTGTGCCCAGGTTCTACCCCAGCTTAGTTCATCATGCCATGTGCAGTTACGGCGCCTGCCGAGCTGTCAGATGCTTTGGCGGTGAAGCCTTGTTGTGAGATGAGGTGAGAGCATCGGGAACAAAATGGTCATTACAGGCCATTCCTGTCCACAGCATTTAGACCTTGGTGTTTGCTCGCAAGCAAAAGCAAGTGCTAATTTGCAAGGCTGCCTTTGTGGAGCTGCCTTTTGATCAATGATTGCCTCTGTTAATGTTTCAGTAAGCTATTGATTTCTGCAACAGCTTTTGTTCCTGAATTTATGTGCAGTGGGTCTCTGCAGCACACACTATGCATGTTTGATTAAAGTTCAATTGACTTCATTCCTAGCGAGGCCACAAGCTGCTTCACTCCCTATTTGTAGAACCAAAGCTTTCCCCAACGTGTTCTTTTGTTTGTGCTCAAGACCTAGCCACCCATGCAGTCACCAATATGCTGCTTCTAATCCCCCCAGATCCGCTCCATTCCAGTGTTTAATCCCTTGGTAGACATTGCAGTGGTTGAGAGGCAGCTAATAAAACCCGGCCTGGACTTGTTGTTAGTTCACTGATTTTTATTGGCATGTAATTGATATGTGCGGTGTGTGTGATACAATAAAAATGTACCCACTTTAAGTGTACTCTTCAATAAGTTTTGACAACTGTATACACCTCCATAAAGAGCACTTCCATTGATTTATGGGTGATTTCCATCACCCAGTGTTTACTTGGGTCCTTTGCAGGCACTTTCCTATTATTTCTACCCTGCGGGCTCTAGGCAACCGTTGCTGTTTGTGATTTTACATCTGCCTTTTCTAGAATGAAATCATATCAATTATCCCTTTTTTGGTCTGGCTGCTTTCATTTAACAGGGATTCACTCACATTATCTTACCAGTAGTTTCTTTTTTATCTCCAAAGTAGTATTCCAGTAGATGAGTCTTATGTGAACATGTGTTTATTTTTGGGCAAGTAGCCAAGAGTGGAATTGCTGGGTTATGTGATGGGTATTTGCTTAATGTAATAGATACAGAGTGGTATGACCATTTTATGTTCCCACTGGCGGTGTGAGTTCATGTCGCTCTCCTACCCTCCTGAATGTTATATCTCTATACTCCTTCATTTTCTTAGGATAATTCAGACCTGTGAAGTAGTGGGGTCCTTTTGCCTGGTCATTTTGCTCCTTGGCATTTAGCTGGTGAAATCTGTTCTGAATTCCTTGTTCTTGTTTAAAATCTGTTACTTACGTGCTGACCAAAAGTTGAGGTTGATTTCAGCGCTAGCTTCTTTTCTTTCCAGGCTTGATTTTCTCGCCCACTAACAGGGCGCGCAGCACAAGGGTAAGGGTAGAAAGACTCGGCTGGCTTCCCTGGAACCTTTCTTCTGTCTGTTGTGTGGCCTAGCCTCGCAGAACTCTGGCTTCCTCTGTTTAACCTGCAAGTTATGCTATCTTTGAAAACCACAGGAGACTGAGAACGTTCATACTTGGAAAGTAGAGGTAATCAGTCATAACCGCATGAGGCAGTATCGCATTCAGATAGACACTGTTTAGAAACGTCTGGGTAGCTGCGCCTCAGCAGGCTTCAACAGAGACTCGCAGTTGTGGCAGACATGCAGCTGGCTGTTTCCTACCTGATCCCTGCCCCGTTTGTGTTCCCTTCCATCTCCTGTAGCTTTGGATTTCTTGTGATACCCCAACTTTCTGTCGCTCATTGGTCCGTAAAATGACTCAGGCTAAAGGAGCTGGAAGGAAGTGCTGTGGCTTTTTCTCATTCTTCAGCTTTGGCATTGGGCTGTGATTTATCAGACCAGTCCCTTGCCTGGAGTGATAAACCATGCCACTCTGGCAAAGGTGACTGTGATCTGCCTTTTGTTTTGTATTTCCTCATTGGAAATCCAGAGCCAGGTCCAGAAAGCTGCCTGTACACACCTGAATACACACTCAGTTGCACGCACACACAGCTGGAGCTTCCAGAGGCCAGGAGTAGTGGTGTCTGATCTGGTACCTTGTGTAGACCCAACAAATCCCAGGTGGGGGTGAGTTCTTGATGTCCAGAAGTTGAACTCTGCTAGGCTAAGTCACTAAGTTTCCCTGGCTGGGTTTAAGTTTTCTGTCCTCCTGGCTCAGTCTCAAGTGGTGGGATTATAGGTGTGTACCACCATACCTGGCTCATCTGGCCTTCCTGAGCACTCCCAGGCCTCCCCATCACTTCCAGGAGCAGACTTTTTCTCATCTCTACCAGAAGGGTTACCATCCCACTTCCTGCCCAGGCAGAGATGTGGTGTTGTGGGGTGGTTCCTTTAGCAGTAGCTTGCCAGTTAAAAGTTTTTCAGGTCCTTTTTGCCTTAAACAAAGAATTGGACGGAACAAGTCAAAAACAGTCCCAAAAAGTTATTTGAAAAGTGAGGAGTGAAGGGGTAAAGGGAAAACTGGCTCTGCAGAGCGAACTTGGGCCGAACAGAGAGGAAAAGATAGAAGTGCACTTTGCGTCTGAGTGGGCTACCGTGAGGAGTCATAATAGCAGGCTCCTCGTGGCATCTGTGTCCTTACATGTTGTCCCCGTTTTGTGAGTGCTCCCGAGTAGTTCCACATATGGGGTCAGGAATTATTTGCCGCTGTCCTGGATCTTGGAGTTGACAGGTCCTGCTTAATTTTCCAGCCAGCTTTGCCACACCCTATTTCCTGTATCGGTGGGGGGCACCTCTCAGCACACTGCCTTCTTCTGTGCAGGGGGAGCTGATCACCTTCTATTACTACTGGAAGAAAACCCCAGAAGCAGCCAGCTCCCGAGCCCATCGCCGGCACCGCAGGCAAGCCGTATTCAGGAGGATCAAGACTCGAACTGCATCCACACCAGTCAACACGCCCTCCAGACCCCCCTCCAGTGAATTCTGTAAGTGAGGCTCTGGCACCGCAGAGGGTGATGGGAGACCATGCACACACAGCCACGAGTATCCAGAAGGACCTGCCAGCTGAGGCCCCTGGCAGTCCTGTGGGTGTGCAGCTAGGTGCATGAAGCCTGACCCAAGTGTAGTGCTGACCATAGGTGGGGGGGATCCAGTAGGGAGAGTTTTAAAAATTATTTGTACATTTAAATATTTGCCTTCATTTGAAGTTTTTACACCAGTGTCAGCTTGGCCGTGGTCTGAGGTTTCCAGAGCCTTGGCCTAGGCTGTTTCCACGCAGTGGAAGACACACTGTTCGGGGTCTCATAGCACGTGCATTTTGGTGGTTATCTTTTTCCTCCTGCTTTGCCGAGTTCCTCTTCCTAGTTCCAATGCAGTATATGTGGTAACTGTAAACACTGGGGTGTGGCCTCTGCTCTTCCTGTAAACTAGGAAGTGGGTACGTGTGTAATCTCAGCACTCGGGGAGGCTGAGGCAGGAGGATCATAGGTTTGAGCCCAGCCTAGGCCACTCAGGACTTACAGAGATGCTGTCTTAAAATTTAAATAAGGACTCAGGATATAGCTCAGCGGAAAGGCCCTGTTTTCAATCCTTGATGGGGGGGGGAGAAGGGACGGGAGTGGGGGGTATTAAAAAGCTAATGCTTCAAAAACACACCTGGAACATAGCAGCAGTGCTTTGCCATTCTGTCCTGACCCAGGACACCTTGCCTAAAGGTGGCCTGTGTTGCACTTAGCAGCAGTGGGGAACGGCCTGGTGGAGAAATTTCTCAGGATGCCCACGCCACTGTGGGTATACTTCTCCCAGTCTAGATTCTCTAGCCTAGGCACCAGTTAACCCCCCAATTCGGGTGTGACAGTAGCCCCAAAATATGGCAGGGTGGGTCTTTGAGTCCCTCCCCTCACATGCAAACTCTGGCGACCATGCCTGAGGAACTCAGAGCAGTCCTGCAAGAGCACTGTCTGCCTCATCCTCGGGGGCCACTGGCTGTGGCTGAAGGCCCCAGGGTGGCCCCAGTCCTGGCTGAGCATGACAGTGTCTTCCCTGCCTTTTTCACTTTTCTTGTTGTGAGGCAAAATACAGACACCCAAAGTCAAAGACAAAAGTGTTCAGGGCTGGGGATTTAGCTCAGCGGCACAGCGCCTGCCTGGCAAGCACAAGGTCATGAGTTTGATTCCCAGTACCGGAAAAAAACCAACCCCCCCCCCCAAAAAAAAATAAGGCAAAAAGGTTTTTTTGGCTCACAGTTTCTAGAAGTTTTAGTCTATAGTCTGCTGGCTCCAAGGCAGGGTGGCGTGGCAGAGGGGCTTCACAGAAGAGAAGCCATTCATGGCGAGCTGAAAGCAGCAAAGAGAAGCCTCTCCCTTTTATTCCTTTCAGGCTACCTGCCCTTTAGGTGGGCCTTCCCATTACCCACACCCAGAACTATGTTAAACCAATCTGCGAACTGATTTAGTAACCGCACATCCTTGATCCCAGCACTGCACAACTTAATCCCAGCAGCACACGCTCTAAATCCAGCCACCTCTGAAAAGCCCCACCTATGCGGCTTTGGGGTGACATCCAGACACAAGCCCTAACACTCCCTGTCCTGCTTGTGCCCACCTTGTGTAGTGGACCTGAGTTCAGCCAGCGAGGATGACTTTGACAGCGAGGACAGCGAGCAGGAGCTGAAGGGCTACGCCTGCCGGCACTGCTTCACCACCAGTAAGCGTCAGCATGGCACCCCTGAGGGTGGGCTGGGGCTCATTCTACTCCTAGGATCCCAACACTTCGTGTGTCAGATGGGAAACCTGCCAGGGGCGGTGACTGACTGGAGGTTTGCCCTGTGCCTGGAAGTCTTCCTTATGACGGCACCTCAGCTTAGCAGTCAGCCCGGTGAGGAATGATGTGCTCAAGGCTTGGGCTCCTGTGGCCCCCAGAAATTTGCTGCCATCTTCTCATGGGGCCCAGGAAGGGAGGGTAGTGGAGTGGAAACCCCTGCAGCCTTTGCTGGCCCTGGGTTGTCTGAGTCCTAGGTGCCCATGCAAGCCCCATGCTGTCTCGCCGTATGGTACCAGTGTCAGGCACAGCCCACAGAAGGGCCTTCCACCCAGATGTCACTGCGGCCGGGAGGTAGATCTGAGATTGGCACCTGTCCCCTGCCCTCATGCAGCTTCCAAAGACTGGCACCACGGGGGCCGGGAGAACATCCTGCTCTGCACCGACTGCCGCATCCACTTCAAGAAGTACGGCGAGCTGCCACCCATTGAGAAGCCCGTGGACCCCCCACCGTTCATGTTCAAGCCTGTCAAGGAGGAGGACGATGGGCTCAGCGGGAAGCATAGCATGAGGACGCGGCGGAGTCGGGGCTCGGTAAGTCCTGGCCGCAGCTCTGCTTCTTGCAGAGTGCTGTGGAGGTAAAGAGCGCGGTGTGAGGTAGAGAAGCAGACCTTTGCCTGAAGGTGGCCGCTGGGCTGTGGTTGATAGGTGCACTCTGTCCCTCCCCTGGGGTCCCATGGCCCGCATACCTTGGCATCATTTTAGACACTTTGGTGTTGTGACCCTATGCCAGCTCTCCGATCCCTCAGAACTCCCTGCCCCTGTGGGCCAGTCACCTCCAATGTGGCACATTTCTGCTATTTTAACTTTTGCAAGCTCTTTTTAATTTTTTCCCAGATGGTTGATACCGTTTTGGAAACTCGTGGTACATTTCTCTGCTTGGGGCTCAGCCTTTTCATAAAGAAGCTTTGTTTCCAGGGTTGGAAAAGGGGGTGGAGACTCGGGGAGAGGGTTTTCCAGGCCTGGGGCTGAGGCTGCTGATGGCCCCCTCCCTCTAGCACTGGTCTCCCAGGTGGGTGGGACCTTGTGCCCTCCCTGGCCCCTCCTGTCCTGTCAAAGCTGCAGACAGCCTGGCCACTGGCCACTGCCCCTGAGAAGAGAGAGGTGAGCCTGCCTTACCACGGCCCGCAGGAGCAGAGGGAGGTGCTGGGCGCTGAGCTGCAATGTTGGACAGCTCTGGCTCTGTCACTTCCTGTCCTGTCAGAGTGGCTCCACAGTGAGCGCTCTGTTTGCTTAGGTTGAGGGAGGGAGAGGTGGTGTGGGATAAAGATGACTTGTGTGTCTAAGTAGGGGGTGCAGTCCGACAGACCTCCTGCCTGTTGCTGGTGTCCAGGACAGTGCCTGGGATGGGTGCTCTGGGTTTGAGAATGGCTCCTCTGGTGCTGTATGAGCTACCTATTCCCCCTCCTCCTCCCGCGGCCCTGTGGCAACCTCTCCGTGCACAGAGAAGGGCAGGACTGCCTGCTATTCCGTGCTGCAAGGACTTGCTGTGAGGTTCTTTCCCGGGTCTGGGCTTGGATGGGCACACATGGGCCTGAGGATCCAGCCTCAGCAGCCTCTGGTTTGGGGTTAGATGTCTACACTACGTAGTGGTCGGAAGAAGCAACCTGCAAGTCCTGATGGTCGTGCCTCGCCCATCAATGAAGACATCCGCTCCAGTGGCCGCAACTCCCCCAGTGCTGCCAGCACCTCCAGCAATGACAGCAAAGCAGAGACAGTGAAGAAGTCCGCCAAGGTCAGAGGCTGGGGAGCGGGAGCTACTTGAGGCTGAAGCTCACTGTGGAGTCCAGTCTCGGGGCTGCAGGTGGAGGATCAGGCCCTAGAGAGAGGAGGGCACCACTCAGCCACCAGCACTGTCACTTGGGGACACTTGTGCCTCAAGCATCCAAGACCTCAGGCGAGGTGTGAGGGTGGCTGGGAAGGTTCCCACCCACAGTGCCTGTCCGTTCCTGGCCCTGGGACCCTCCTGGGGAGCTTCATTGCTTTTGGAGATGAGCTCAGAGTGAGGGAGCCAGGGTCACTCACATCATTCTCTCCTGGCCTTCCACTGCAGAAGGTGAAGGACGAGGCCTCGTCCCCTCTCAAGAGCACCAAGCGCCAGCGGGAGAAAGTAGCCTCTGACACAGAGGAGGCTGACAGGACCAGCTCCAAGAAGACAAAAACCCAGGTGAGCCGACGCAGCCACCTGCACTTGGGTCCGAGGAGCAAGGGCCCTGTCTCCAGGGAGAGCTAGAGCTCAGGCCTGGACAGTGTGGGGACAGCGTGGGGCAGGAGCTAGAGGTCAGAGGCGGGCCTGGGGCCCAGGGGCCAAGCTGGCTGCTCCCTCTGCATGGGGCGTCCTCACTGCTGGGCACCAACAGCATGGACCAAGCTCTCTCCCTTCTTCTCTGGCTCCAGGAGATCAGCCGGCCCAACTCGCCCTCCGAAGGGGAGGGAGAGAGCTCGGATAGTCGCAGTGTCAACGATGAGGGCAGCAGTGACCCCAAAGATATCGACCAGGACAATCGCAGCACGTCCCCCAGCATCCCCAGCCCCCAGGACAATGAGAGTGACTCGGACTCATCTGCTCAGCAGCAGTTGTCGCAGGCCCAGCCCCCAGCATTGCAGGCCCCCAGTGGAGCTGCCCCGGCTCCGGCAACAGCCCCCTCAGGAGCAGCCCAGCTCTCTACCCCGGGACCCACACCCTCCACTGCTGCAGTCCCTCCACAGGGCTCCCCAGCCCCTGGACAACCCCCAAACCAGCCTCAAGCTCCTCCAGCGCCAAGCACCCATGCCCACATCCAGCAGGCACCTGCACTGCACCCCCCGAGGCTGCCCTCGCCACACCCTCCACTGCAGCCGCTGAGTGGGTCAGCAGGCCAGACTCCCACAGCCCATGGCCAGCCCCCCTTGCACAGCCAGGGCCCACCAGGCCCTCATGGCCTGCAGGCCGGGCAGCTGCTGCAGCACCCTGGCCCCCCACAGTCCTTCGGCCTCCCTCCCCAAACACCCCAGGGACAGGCCCCTCTGGGGGCCGCCTCAGCCGCAGCTCACCCTCACACTGCCATGCAGCTCCCAGCCTCGCAGGCAGCACTGCAGCCCCAGCAGCCCCCCAGGGAGCAGCCCCTGCCCCCAGCACCCCTGGCCATGCCTCACATCAAGCCCCCTCCTACCACACCCATCCCCCAGCTGCCTGCTCCACAGGCCCACAAGCATCCTCCCCACCTCTCTGGGCCCTCGCCCTTCTCCATGAATGCCAACCTGCCGCCCCCTCCGGCCCTGAAGCCCCTCAGCTCCCTGTCCACACACCACCCTCCCTCAGCCCACCCCCCACCCCTGCAGCTCATGCCGCAGAGCCAGCCTCTGCCCTCCTCCCCAGCCCAGCCCCCTGGGCTCACCCAGAGCCAGAATCTGCAGCCTGCTACCACTGCCCATCCCCCCACCAGCCTCCACCAGGCACCCCCACAGCCCCCGTTCACCCAGCACCCCTTTGTCCCTGGCGGCCCCCCACCCATCACCCCACCCACTTGCCCACCCACCTCAACCCCACCTGCAGGCCCCAGCACCTCTGCCCAACCTCCCTGCTCTGCTGCCCTGTCTTCAGGGGCCAGCACCCCCGGGGTGGCTCCTTGCCCACTCCCCACTGTCCACATCAAGGAGGAGGCTCTGGATGATGCTGAGGAGCCCGAGAGCCCCCCGCCCCCACCGAGGAGCCCGTCCCCTGAGCCCACCGTGGTGGACACCCCCAGCCACGCCAGCCAGTCTGCCAGGTATTGGGTGCTGGGCGTCTGGGCACAGGTGGGCACCACAGGTGTAGCAGGGCAGTGGGCCAAGGCACCAGCAGCTGCCCAGTCATCAATGCGGCCTCTCATAGGTTTTACAAACACCTGGACCGGGGTTACAACTCATGTGCGCGGACAGACCTGTACTTCATGCCTCTGGCCGGGTCCAAGCTGGCCAAGAAGAGGGAGGAGGCCATCGAGAAGGCCAAACGGGAGGCGGAGCAGAAAGCCCGAGAGGAGCGGGAGCGGGAGAAAGAGAAGGAGAAGGAGCGAGAACGGGAGCGAGAGCGGGAGCGGGAGGCCGAGCGGGCAGCCGTGAGTCCCCAGGGCTGGGCGTGCAGAGGGCCGGCACCAGCATCCGGCCGCCAGGGCATCCTCAGGACAGATGTGGCAGGTCCCAGAGCAGCTGGGGGACTCAAAGCAGTGATTGACTCAGTGTCTGCCTGCCCGGGGCTCTGCCAGAATGGGCAGCCAGGCGACACTGCAGGGGGTCGAGGCGCTCTCAGGCCCAGAGCCCTTGTTTCAGCGGGTGGTGGCGAGCCGAAGCCTGCCCGCACAGTGACCTGTGGGGTGTGTAGCAGGCTTCAGTCTTCAGGCCCACTCCCACACCTGCCCATCCTGCCCACAGACAGATGTGACCATCTGGGGTGTTGGGGAGGCACAGATGGGACGTCACAGCAGGGTCGGGACTGCACCCTGGTGCCAGGCCACGGCCAGGCTTTGGTCTGCACCCTGGGGCGGGGGAGCTGCCCATGCACAGGATAGGAGGCGGGTGGGACCTCTGTGCTGAGTCCAGGCCCACACGACCCACCAGGCGCTTGGGCCCTGCCCCTCACACGTTCTTTTCTTTAGCAGAAAGCATCCAGCTCTGCACATGAAGGCCGCCTCAGTGACCCCCAGCTCAGTGGTCCTGGCCACATGCGACCCTCCTTCGAGCCACCTCCAACCACCATCGCCGCGGTGCCCCCTTACATCGGGCCCGACACCCCTGCTCTGCGGACACTGAGCGAGTACGCTCGGCCCCATGTCATGTCCCCCACCAACCGCAACCACCCTTTCTACATGCCCCTGAACCCCACCGACCCCCTGCTGGCCTACCACATGCCTGGCCTGTATAATGTGGACCCCACCATCCGCGAGAGGGAGCTCCGGGAGCGCGAGATCCGTGAGCGGGAGATCCGTGAACGCGAGCTTCGAGAGCGCATGAAGCCGGGCTTCGAGGTGAAGCCGCCAGAGCTGGACCCCCTGCACCCAGCCACTAACCCCATGGAGCACTTCGCGCGTCACAGTGCCCTGACCATTCCCCCATCTGCCGGCCCCCACCCGTTCGCCTCTTTCCACCCGGGTCTGAACCCTTTGGAGCGGGAGAGACTGGCCTTGGCGGGCCCCCAGCTGCGGCCCGAAATGAGCTACCCCGACAGACTGGCTGCTGAGCGCATCCACGCCGAGCGCATGGCGTCACTCACCAGTGACCCCCTGGCACGGCTGCAGATGTTCAATGTGACTCCGCACCATCACCAGCACTCCCACATCCACTCCCACCTCCACCTCCACCAGCAGGACCCCCTCCACCAAGGTGGGTGCCTGCCAGCCCACGCACACAGCGTGGGCAGGGTGTGCCATGCTGCACGTGGCCCTGATTCCTGACAGGGCTTCCGTTCAGTGCAGGGGGCCCTGGGCCTGGCCAGGCTCAGCCGCCAGGGCTGAATCACGAAGCTGCGGCAGCCTCCCCAGGAGGCCAGGTTCTTGGATTGGGCTCAGGGCGAAGGGCAGTGGTCTGCTCCCTGGGCAGCTGTGCAAGGCCTTGAGGTCTTCGGAGCGAGGGACGTCCAAGTACAGCACTAGGCCGCCTGTAGCAGTTGTGGGCTGTCACACAGTGGGAGCTCCTGATACCAGCAGACCAGCCGTCCTTCGGGCACTGTCCTGGGTGGAGGCAGGCACAGCCTGCGGCAGGCTGTGGTGCAGGTGTTGGATGAGGTGCTGCTCAGCAGAAGGGAGGCCGCATTTAGGGCAGCCCCGTCTCCCACTGCCGAGGACCTAACAGGCACTGGGCAGGCCAGGGCCATAGCCAGGTGGCGTGCTTGATGGGGCCAGGCAGTGGAAACATGGGCATCACCTAGGTCACCCCACCGAGGGAGATGCTGAGAAGGGATCACCTTAGGTCACCCCACTGAGGGAGACACTGAAAAGGCCACCAGCACGCACTACCAGCATCTGGTCTCCTTCCTTTCTAGGCTCAGCAGGCCCAGTTCACCCTCTGGTTGACCCCCTGACTGCTGGCCCCCACCTGGCTCGCTTCCCCTACCCACCCGGCACCCTCCCCAGCCCTCTGCTCGGCCAGCCCCCCCATGAGCACGAGATGCTGCGCCACCCCGTCTTCGGTGAGTCACGGGAGGGCCGGCTGGGGTCTGTCAGCCTTGGGCTCTCGTTCAGTTAAGTATTGTACGAGTATGGATTTACACCCTCCTCATGCTGGGGTCTTGTGGGACGAGGCAGGCTTGGGGTGAGCACTGTCAGCAGTGCGTGTGGGCTTGGGGTCAGTAGGGCACTGCTGAGCCTGCCTCCTCCCGGTGGCTCTGGTCTGCCGAGGCAGCTCCATCTTGCTACCTTGGAAAGGCTGGTTTGACCGTCCCCAGCCTGCAGCATGTGGCTGCTGGGCTAGCATTCCCAGCCCTTTGCGGGTCACTGAATGCTTCCTTCATCCTGACCACTCCCCTGCTGTTTGTGCTCCACAGGAACCCCCTACCCCCGAGACCTGCCTGGGGCCATCCCACCTCCCATGTCAGCAGCCCACCAGCTGCAGGCCATGCACGCCCAGTCAGCTGAGCTGCAGAGACTGGCCATGGAGCAGCAGTGGTTACACGGACACCCACACATGCACGGCGGCCACCTACCGAGTCAGGAGGATTATTACAGGTGAAGCGGAGGGAGCGCGCGTGTGGGCACACTGGTAGGACGGAGGGAGGGAGGGACGCTGCGTGAGAGGGGGCTGGGGCTTGTGCACAGCAAGGAGATGCCCAGGCCTTGAGCCTGAGGCCTTGGGGTGCAAACAGGGTTGTGTGGTGGCATCCAACGTGCCTGTCACCTGTGTGGCCTGATGGCCTGCCGTTTTTTCTTCTTTTCAGCCGACTGAAGAAAGAAGGCGACAAGCAGTTATAAGTTATTTATTTGTTAATGCTGGCTGTGGAAACCCCAATTCTTGGGGGGAGAAACAGGACTTTTTGCATACAGTAGGAGCTGCAAAAGCAAGAAGAATATCTTCTAAAGATTTCTTTATATATTTAAAAACCCCACAACTAAAAATGTATCGCATAATAGTGTTCGTTTGTCGAGAGGATTTCCTGAGACTGGTTTGGGTCTCCCTGCATGACAGTCCCCCAGAAACGTAGTGAGTCCCGGACTGGGCTGGACGTCCGGACCCCTGTGAGCGCGCGGTGGCTTCGTGCTCTTCCCCCTGACCCCTCAGTAGGTGCTAGAACCTGTTCACACCCTCACTGTGCACAGACACGCCGAGTTGTGTGGGCTCTGGCCCGCGGGTTTGCAGATGGGCAGCGTATGAGTTTGCAATCCAAGAGCTATAATTTTTAAAAGAATCTTTTATTTTAGTACATTGTAGGAAATCTTCATAATTTGAGAAATTTCTGCAGCATGGCTTTCTATGTCTGTAAATAAATAATTTTAGAACAGCTTTCTTTTCCTTCCACAAACTACTGTTCTATTTTTTCCAGCCATGTCACTAATTATGAATTCCTACCAGCTATTGACAGAATACAGAGTTGATTTTTTAATAAAAAGTTATATATAATTATCCCTTTAATTAAAGGGAGCTGATGGGTGTTACTAATTACAAACAGGCAGCAGCTTGGGGCTAGGTTCGGTCACGGCGTGAGCACCAGGGCTGGCGGGGACGACGCTACGAACTCTTACTGTGCTGCTTGGCTTCCTCTGTCTGCCCTTCGTGTGCCAGGCCAAGGCGCAGGCGTCTGTGAGCACGAGCCTCTTCCGTTGTGCACAGGTGTGCAGAAGTCCAGTGTTCGCTTTCTGGTGCCTGCTGCCGCCGTGTCCTGTCTCGGGGGATAGAAAGCGCATGTTTATGTGTGTCTGATGGTAGATTTCCTTGTAGAGTTCTATGCACACACATTTGATTGTTCTGGATAAATCGCCTTTTTAATACTCTGAAATTTCCGTAAACAGTCAAGAAGATTCAAGAAAATGATTCCATACAGATAACTGAGCACAGGAAAGACCCAGGACATAACGCTTGCCAAAGGAATTAGAAACCTGCCCGCCCGTGCATGTCACCATTCGGATCTCCTCGTGGCCAGGCCTAAGCCCAGTCGTCCTCGCCACAGACAGAGGCCGCTTCCAGGGGGGAGACCTGAGGTTAATGTGGTGCGGGTGGCGTGTGCATCTTTGGCTCCGAGGCAGACCCAGGCCGTGCCCCACACTGGCCTGGGGAACCACTCACGTCCCAGCCGGCCTCCTGGAGGCGGGAATAGGAGCCAGGCACAGGCTGCTGGTGGAGAGCAGGCTTGGGCCCAGGAGGTGGCAGCCCGGCGCTGAAGAGCACAGCGCTTGGCTGCCGCCAGCTCTGGGAGCCCTGAGCCAAAGCCAGGTGGGCGCGTCAGTCTCCGTCGGAGCCCCTCCTGTCCTCCTCTCCGACTCCCGAGAGCCCCTCTGCTGTCGCATGCGTCACTCAGACAAGTGCCTGTGGGTCAGTGGACAGGCTGGGGCCCAGCGTCCAGGTGCGGGTGGAGGGCAGGCTTGCCCCAGACCCCGGCAGGTGTGCCCTCGGCCCCTGGCTCTGGGCCGACCTGCAGCGTGGCGCTCTGGTTTCTATCAACCACATTGGTTTTGGTTGGGACAGATAGGATTGTTTTGTTGTTGAAAGTGTTTGTAGTTTGGTTTTTGTTTTTTCTCTCATTCCATTTCTGCCTTAACTTTAGTTCCTTAGGGGAGGCAAGTTCAGACTAACTCTGTCGTCACACTTCCCGGTGCCTCGGCACAGGGGCGTTTGCTTCCCCCCAGGGATGGTGACCAGCATCCAGGCTCTGAGGCTGGCTCTGCCCACTGGGCACAGGGCGGGCACTCCCTGCCTGGGCCCCCACCTCCCGTGCTCATGTTTTCCCTCTGCTTTTGGTAGAACCCGACATCTACCATTGAGTTGAACCTTGGTCTCCTCTGTTACCCATTTTTCCAAAGAAGAGAAAGTGACGGACTTGCAGTCTGTACTTGAAACCCGTCTGAAGGTGGTGTCTCCTTGTGCTTCGGGTTCCTGGGAGCCCGGCAGATGAACCCGGCCCCGCCCTCGCGCACCATCCGGCTGCGCTCGTTGAAGAGGAGCCCCAGGCCTCCATTCTGCCCTGAAGCCGGCTGCTCGTTTTCCTTTGGACTTTTCTTCCTTCTGTTCGAAGTTCGGTTTTGCTTTCTGTGTTTTGTACGTGTCTTGCTCCATGTGGTCAAGGTTGAGCTTCACCTCTCACTGCAGCAGAGCAGAGTGTCCGTTCTGATTTGCTACGTTTCTATATATCTTGAAGCTAAATGTATATATGAGTAGTTCGCCATTGGGATAACACAGTGTAAACAGTAGACACCCAGAAATCGTGACTTCTGTGTTCTCTCCATTTGAGTATTTTGTAATTTTTTTGAAATATTTGTGGACATAAATAAAACCAAGCTACACTACTACACCTGTGTGGACCAGCGCACTGTCTTGGGGGGCGGGGCTGGGCCCCGTTGCTTCCTGCTGCCAGCGAGGGGTCTCACCAGCGGATCCCCTTGTTCTCTGGGGAGTGCGTCCCATTGGCACGGAGAGTGCCACCCCTGCCAGCTTAGGACAGTGGCTTCCTGTCCCCGGCTGGCCTGCCTCTTCCCTCAGCCCCCACTGTGAGCTCCTGATGACAGAGGGGTGTCTGGCTCCTGTGGGCCCCACTCAGCCTATAAGGTCTGGCTTTGGCCACCAGGCCAGGTGGTGGGAGTGAGCAAATGGTTGAGGCTTCCCCCGAGCCCTGGGAATGAGGACTGGCCTTGGTCATAGGGTGTTGTGAGAGGCGGGGACAGGGCTGGAGCATCCCTGCCTGGGCCGGGGTCTGCTATGTATCAGGAAAGGTGTAGGGAGTTCGTGGGGACCAGGTGCTGCCCAGTCAGCATGAGAGCGTGCGTCAGTGGGCAAGGCCACCCCTGTGTCCTAGACAGCGAGGGTCCTGCCTGGCGGTTGGGTGACCGGGGCCGGGATACAGCATAGGCAGGAGAGTGGCACCTTTGCCCGGCTTACCTGACTGCAGTTGTCAGTGGCATAATGATTCCTGGCTTGACGGTGAGACCAGGTCCAGTGCGGTGCTGCAGAGCTCCAGAAACAAATTGGGACAGCCGCTGAGAACTCTGGCAGCCCCACCGCGGGGCTCGCAGCCGAGGAAGTGACCTCTGTTGCAGACCCCCGCTCTCCCCGCTCAGCACCTCACCACAGCCACACTGGACGGTCAACCCCAGCGTCCCCTGCCAGAGGAACGGCTTTTCTCAGCGTGCTCTGTGTGTGGTGGGATACCTTTCAACCATAGAAGGGGTGGACCACAGCACAGTGGACCTGGGGGACATTATGTTAAGCACAGTAAGAAGACACAGAAAAACACACCGACGTTCTAGCTGTCGGAGGTAAAGCATCCGCCTTACAGAAGTAGGGAATGGCTTACTGGCGACTAGACGGAACCGAAACAAGAAGGTTCGTTCCTGCGGCTTCCTGGTTCACAGTTCAGGGGATGTCTGGAAATAGCCCGCAGTCCAAAGGCTCCCAACGCAGAAGTGACGCACATATCCAAGGTGGAAGTGCTCCGTGTCCTGATCCCAGCGTTACACACTGGATGCAAGCCTCAGCGACTGTGCCCCCCCCAGTACCCATTAAGGCGTGGCCATTTCTCAGGCCACTGTCACCAGCCTGCCATGCGCTCAGGGAGAGGTTCGGCATGTGCTAGGTTCCCAAGATGAGCCCCCTCCAGCAGCTGCCCCAGGCCGGCCCTCCGTCCACTGTGCCTCCCCCTCATTCTAGGAACGGAGCCGCTGCTGGCCCGCCCGTGGGTAAAGGGAGTGGTGTGTGAGGCCCCGGGCTTGAGCACAGTTCCACGGCGAACTCCAGCAGAGGGGTACCTCACGTGGCACCACTGGGTAAAGGAAGGTCACCTAGCCAGAAGGCAAGGCTACACCGAGGCGGCCTGCGGTGACACCTGCCCCCTGCACAATTGCAGCCACGGCCACTGATGGGTTCGGTTGGAGTCGGTTGGGGTCAGGGCCTGCGGCGTGGCCACCCACAGGGCCCTTCCCAGCCTCAGCCCTGGCCAAATCAGATGGGACCTGTTACCCAGACACCTGGGGGTCAGGTCATGGGCCCCCAAATCAGGCCAAGTACCTGTCCTGCTCTGGACCACAGAGACACGGAGGCTCTGGCCCCGGCATCGCTGTGCTTCTCGGGGAGAATCGGAGCTGTAGAGGGGCGGGACGGGGCGCCTGGTGGAGGCGGGGCCTGCTGGGAGCTGGGCACGGTCATGAGGGAGCACACGGCCCCTGGGGATCCAGGAGCCAAACAGAAACTGTCCCTCTGTCCCGCAAGCTCTGTAAGGGGCCCCCTACCCCCATCCCTGGGCACCTCGTTCCTGGGCCAAGCTCCCTGTGGGGAGGCACCTGCTCCATAGGACTGCTTGGCTGAGTGAACAGGTGGATGGGCAGGCAGGTGGGTGGGTGGCCACCCCCTGCAGAAGGTGGCCTTGGGTCCCCCGTGCAGATGTGCCATTGGGTGTAGGCACAAAGACCAATAGTGGGACCTTTTACCTGGCCCTGTCGAGTCTTATGCTGTCTCCCCCCAACCCCCCGCCTCTGCTATGCCGTGTCCCCAGCCCTGGTGGACACCATGCTTGGGAGCTGGGGGTTCTTTACAGCATGGCCCTGGGCATGGCAGGGTATGAGTACCGTGTGGCGAATTAGACTCAGAGCCAGGACTTTAAGACAGTCTTGTAAGACCTATGTGGCGAAGGAGGACTCCTGTGGCCACTGAGCTGTTCGAGGCCACAGTTTTCTGTGTGCCTGACCCCCTTTTCATTCCCAGGCCCCCTCTGCTCCTTGTAGTTCTGGCTGGGTGCTGCTGCTGGCCCCACTGCAGAAGAGGGTCGCTCCCAGTCCTGGCCACCAGGCGGCAGTGGGGACCGCCCAGACGCCTGTGACCCAGGGTGCCCCTGAGACATCCAAGGAGAAGGTGTGGCTCAGACCAGGAGTAGCAAGGGGGAAAGGGGCACACAGACAAGGTGGCAGCCGAGTGGGGCTAAGGAGGTGGCAGGAAAGAGGGATGTACAAGGGACAGGGACAACGGTGCGGATGGGGCGGAGGAGGCAGAGGCTGTCTGGAGGGCAGGGCCCTGGTCTCCTGTTCTCCGTGCCTCTGCAGCACCCGGTTCGTGTGCAGCTGGCACTCAGCAAATGCACACTGAGCAGAAGGGCTCCCGTGGGGGTCCTCACCCGAGGGTGGTGCCCAAGAACCCAGGATGCCAGCCTCCCTCAGGCCGTGTGTACCTGGAAGGCACCTGCCTCAGGCCCTGCTTGGGCCCTCTCAGCAGTGCACAGCGCACCCTGCACACCCAAGTGTGGGAGGCCCAGGCCCGCTGTGCGGAGTGCGGGAGCCACCCGACCCACTCCCGGTGTGGGAGGGCTCCAGACGAGCCGCTGCAGAGCGTTGAGGCCCGGCAGGTGGCCGGGCTGTTGGCTTCACAGCGGCACCGGCAAGGGCCAGCCTTGCCAGGGAGCTCGGTAGCAGAGCGGCTCCCCACCACCGTGACACAGCTTTCACCCTGGTGGTGTTGGCCTGAGACGGTGAGTCTAGCCAGCGGGCACAGGGCACGAGCTCACCTCTCCCCTTGCTGCTTCTCTGCCTAGAAAGAATGCTACATTCCCTCACAGCTAATGGGGACCGGGGCCAGCTCCCTCAAGGTTCACCCTGTGGGGAGAAGGCTGCTGCCCTGGACCCCAGGACCTCACAGCCCCATGTTTATCCTGAGGTGCTCAGAGCAGACCTCTGCAGCATGGGCTGCCTGCTCTGGGGACCCAGCAGGTCTGCAAAACGGGATCATGACACCTTTGCACACCAGAAGGACGGAGCTGGATGGATGGTCTGGCAGCGGGGGCTTTCCTGGGGTCTCCCCACACTGGCAAGTGCAAGCAGATTCCCAGGACAGAGGCCGCAGCTGCCACTGACTCACCTGTTCACTTCCAAGGCTCTGGGGAGAGGGCCCAGCTCTGACAGCGGGAAAGCCTGGAACCACCAGGAGGCTAGGTCCAAGGGGCAGCAGGGACACGGAACGGGCAGACGTGAGACTGGGGATGGCTGCCCTCCTCCTGGCTCAGGCACCGCCTGAAGGCACACAGAGGGAACTCGGTGATTCTACCCGGTGGATGGAGGTTGTTGGGAGCAGCTGGAGCTGCAAATTGGTCATTTGTGTGAGGGCAGGACAGAGCCAGAGTGCCTCAAGCAGTCAAGAGGAAAACAGTCTTGAGAAAAACATCCTGCCTGAACAATTACAGTCATTAGTTGCTAAGCAACATTACCTCTCCCGATATTAACTTTGCAAGACTATAAAATAAATGCCCCTACTGTTGAAGTTCCTCTTGCTGATCAGGTAAGGGGTCGCCTCCACCTGACCCAGCTCTTGTCTCTTATCTTTATTTTTCTCATACCCACCGCCATTCCTCTCCGGGAAACGAGAGGCCAAAGAGGACCCTAACAGAGATGAGTGAGGACCCTGGGCCCGGGAGGCACGGCAGGGTCAAACCAGCAGGGCTGCAGCAGTGGGGCTGAAAGAGGCCCAGGAGGCCATGGTCATGGTAGGGCGGCTTTAACTGGGCACATGCACCACCGCGGAGGCCATGGCTCCTGCCCAGCACCCCCTAACTGGCCACAGAGCGCTGGTCCATGAGCTGGACCCTTCTGGAGCCAGTGGTGGGCTCCAGACTCCTGATGCTGGTGTGATCAGAGTGTCTCCCCAGTCCCCAAACACGGGGACTGCACTGAGGTGCCGTGCTGTATAGCTGCAGGAGGCCAGGTTCCGTGCATGAGGTGCTCCAGGGACCCAGACACCTCCTAACCTGGGGCAGCAACACCACGCAGGAAGGAGCCTCAGGGGCTGCCATGATGGGAGGGGTCAGAGGCCACCCGGCTGCACAGCTGCCAGGGTCCTGGCCTGCAAGGGGTACCCTTGGTGCCTGCTGAGCCAGGACAGGGGCAGGGCTGGGGGCACAGCCTGGCCCCACCAAGCCTCAGCTTCTGCCCTGGAGCAGAGCGGGCAAGCGTGAGCCACGCACCTTCCACTGGGCTGAGGCCCACTTTCGGGGCATCTCAGTGCCTGTGCTCCCTTGAATGTGCCAAGACAGTGCCCCCATGAGGGACAGCTGCACGCTGCTGCCGGGCCCAGCTCAGCTGCCTTCACCCCCGCTGGCCTTGCCTGGGTGCCTGGAGCGCTGCCCACCACCCTCTCTGCCCCTCCTCCTCCCATTGCTTCCACAGGGTGGAGACTTGCTGCTCCGAGATGGATCTCCAGAATCTGCCGCACCCAAGGGTACGGGCTGGACACCTTCTGGGCAGATGGATGGGTCGGGGAGAGTGTGTCCATCTTCCTGTCACTGACAAAATCCCTCAGGCAGTCAACAGGAGGGAAGTATGCTTTTCACTGCTGGTTTTCGGCCCTGGTCACCGGCCCTGCTGCTTTGGCCCTGTGGCGGCACAGGACACCAGGGACATGCAGAAAGCAGCTCGCCTCTTGGCAGCCAGGAACTAGAGCGGGAGGTGGGGCCTCCAGATCCCCAGTGACCTCACTTCCTCCGTGAGGCCCCACCTCTTAAAGGTCCCCCCACCTCTCAGTTGCACAAGGGCTGGGAGCCAAGCTTTCAACGTGTGGGCCTCTGAGAGACATTTCAGTTCCAAACTACAGCAGGTGGGTGGATCGGAGGGAGGGAGGAGTGGAGGGGGAAGGAGAGAGGAGGATCGACAGATAAACAGATGGAAGGAAGGACTGACGGATGGATGGACTGATGGGTAGGTGGGTAGATGGATGGATAGATGTATGGATGGATGGGTGGATGGGTGGATGGATGGGTGGATGGATGGATCGATGGATGGATGGATGGAGAATGGATGGATGGAAGGATGGATGGATGGATGGATGCATGGAAGGATGGATGGAGAACGGATGGATGGAAGGATGAATGGATGGATGGATGCATGCATGGAAGGATGGGTGGATGGATGGATGGATGGATGGAGAATGGATGGATGGATGGAAGGATGGATAGATGGATGGATGGAAAGATGAGTGGATGGAAAAATGGATGGATGGATGGATGGATGATGGGTAGATGGATGGATGAAGGATGCATGGGTGAATGGATGGACAGAATACATGAGTGGATGAGTGAGTGAATGACAAACTACACTAAAACCCCCCATGATGCAGTATGTGACTGGGCTCTCCCTCCCTCAGCACTGCCGGCCTTTGGGCTCCATGTGGGGGGCTTCCCTATGTGTTGTAGGATGTTTGTAGCACCCCTACACAGTAAATGCATCCTGCCAAGTTGAGCTGTGACAACCCAAAATATCTCCAGCCACCATCACATGTCTTCCGGGAGTAGGAAGAGGTGGCACCATCACCCAGGACTGAGAACCACGGAGTCCCTCCTCACAGTCTCCCCTGCCTGAGTCCCCTGTGACCGCACACCTTCCCCTCCGAGAGCTGCTGGAAGCCGTGGGCTTTGCTGCCGTCCTTTATTTTACCGATATTTACATTCCAGCGGGAGCCCAGCACTTGGTTTCTCAGGCACAAGCAGGAGTCCAGAGTTGAGGCGCCGGGTCGTCAGACGTTCAGCAAGAGGGGCTGGTGCTCCTCGTCCCCTGCGTCCCCTGGGGGGATCTCGTAGATGACGAACAGGGAAGAGTACACACAGCCGAGGAAGGACACGAGGCTGGAGAAGTACATCACGCCGCTGGCGCTGCCCACGGCCGAGGTCAGAGGCCCCAGGACCAGGGAGACCAGGATCTGGGCCAGGAAATACTGGCAGCTCAGCAGGGAGATGTCCACACCCATGCCACGCCGCGTGCCGTCTGCGCTGGACCCTGCGAACTGCCAGAGAGGGGATGCGTGAGCCAGGCCGGCTCAGGGGACACGCTGGGTGACCCGGCCCTGCGTCTCCGCAACCCCGGCCCCGTGCCCCAGGGTCATTCGCACTGGGCTCGGCCAGGAGGGTCCCCGCGTTTGTACTCAGAGATAACAACAAGGGTCTGTGACCTGCGGGGGAGCATGGCCGCTCGCTTCCCCACATGGTGCCCAGAGACCCCTGCCGCCTCCTGCCTGCTGCCCCATGCCCAGACTCGGAGCAGCACCGGCAGGGAGCACCTGGCCCTCACCCTGCTGCCGGAGCAGGCCCCGCTGGCGACCAGCGTCCCCACACTGCCCGGTCACCTCTGGGATGTCAGCCCTGGGTCACCCAAGGCACGCTGTGTCCTGGGGAAGCCCGGGTCCCCTGTGGCCACACCCAGCGAGGGGCTGCAGAGCACTTCCCGTGGGAGAGGACAACCCGCTGACCGGACCGCACCCTCCGTTTGCCCAGCAAAGGGGGTCCAGGGGGTCCAGGGGACCAATAGGGGGCCAGTCCTCAAGGCCACTGCCTGTCTCCTGTGAGGTGACCCAGCTGAGAGGGAGCAGTCACATCCACCACCAAAGACACCTGGCCACCCGTCCTAGTGCCGGGAGCACCGGGTGACGACAGCTCCACTCTCCACGCGGGCCCTGCACGCAGGCCGGCGCACCGCGCCAGTCAGACCCTGGACAGCTGGAATGGCCTCCGGCCTGGGGCTGGGGCCGCGGGGGAGGGGCGCCGGGCACTCAGCCAGCAAGGTACTGTTCCCCCCATTTTTTTCCCTTTCCTTCTTTCTTTCTTTCTTTCTTTTTCTTTCTTTCTTTTCTTTTTCTTTCTTTCTTCTTTCTTTCTTTTCTTTTTCCTTCCTTCCTTCCTTCTTTCTTTCTTTCTTTCCTTCCTTCCTTCTTTCCTTCCTTCCTCCCTCCCTCCCTCCCTCAGCACTGGGAATTGAACAGGGGGCCTCGTGCTTCCTAGGCAAAAGACAAGCTCTCTGCCACTGAGCCCTTTTATTGAGACAGTCTTGCTAAACTGCCCGGCTGCCCTCCAGCTTTTGATCCTCCTGCCTCAGCCTCATGACCTGCCGAGATTACAGGTGTGCATCATCATGCTCAACCGAGCAAGGAGATATTTTAAAGCAGTATTTCAAAGTTTTGAAGTTATTGCAAAAAATGCATGGTAGAAGCTGGGTGTGGTGGTACATGCCTCTTAATCCCAGCACTCGGGAGGCTGACGCAAGAGGATCGACGGGAGGCCAGCCTGGGCTACACAGTGAGCTCAAGGCAAGCCTGAACTACATAGTGAGAACCTGTCTCAAAAAGAAAAATCATGGTGGGGGACTGCAATGTGGTCATCAAAAGGGACGGGGTGTGGACACGGGCTGAGCCATGGAACCACTGTGCAGCACTGTCTATGTGAAATGTGGACAGGTGGTTGCCCGTGAGGGTCGACTAGGGGGCCAGTGGCTCAAGGGTTTCTCTCGAGGGTGGCGCATGCCTTCGAACTGATGGCGAAGGTTGCAAACTCTGGACGCCCTCAACTTCACTGAGCACGCGCCTCCAGGGCGAGCTGCGGGCTCTCACGGGCCGTCACAGCTCTCAAGACTGGCCGGAGAATCCATACTGAGGAAAACACAGAGGTACACATGGGCTTGGCATCCCGCACCTTCCCTTGGCCCTCAGAGTCTGCTGGGGCGGACAAGGCCTGCTACTGAGCATTGTGGCTTAACGCCCCGATATCTTACTCAGCACGGACATTTGGCATTAATTCTGATTTTTCTTTTTCTTTCGTGTGTGTGTGTGTGTGTGTGTGTGTGTGTGTGTGTGTGTTACTGGGGATGGAACCCAGAGCCTTTGCACTGTGTGACATCCCCAGCCCTTTTTTTGAGACAAGGTCTCGATACATTGCTAAATTGCCCAGGATGGGATCCAGCCTGAGATCCTCCGGCCTCGGCCTCCCAAGTGCTGGGATTGCAGGTGTGCACCACCATGCCTCACACTCATCGAGATGTTTGTCTTTTTGTTTCGTTTTGTTTTGTTTTTGAGACAGGGTCTCACTGTGTTGTTCAGCCTGGCCTTGAATTCACTATGTAGCCCAGGCTGGCCTCGAATTCACCGCGATCCTCCTGCCTCTGCCTCCCAAGTATTGCGCCACCACACCCGGTTTATCAAGATTTTTAAAAGCCAGTGGTCACACGCCACTGGCTTGGTTGCCCAGTTTTTGGTGGCGCAGCAGCCTGGACTCCTAAGCCCGCCTGACTTGCAGTGTGGCCTCCCCTTCTGGGTGTCCCAGTAGAGCGGGGCGGCCTGGCGGCGGCTGCCGCCACAGAGCCAGGGAGGCGGCGGAGGGCGGCCCTGTGGGGCGGCCAGGTGTGGGGCGGCGCGGGGCTCACCGTGTTGCTCTGGTAGTAGTCGCAGAGCAGCGAGTAGGGCAGCGTGCACAGCGTGGAGAACAGGACCCCGTAGGTGGTGCAGAGGGACAGGATCACGTAGAGGTTCCTGGACAGCGTAGCCAGCCCGGTGCCCAGGCCGAAGGCAAGGTAGGCGATGAAGTAGAGGGTGCGCGTGCTCAGGCACCCTTCCAGCTTCTCCAGGAGGGCTGCGGGCGGGTGGGCAGGCGTGTGTGAGCGTCCCCGCGCCGCCCCCCTGGGCCCCAAAGGGCAGCTGCTCGCCCCAGACCGGAAGGCACTGGGGGGACCCAGGCCTCCCGGCCCACCTGGCCCCAGAGAGGTGGGGCTGGGCTCTGAGCCGCCGTGCGCCCCGCTGGACTCCTGTCCGCCCTGTTCCCGACATGGGGACACCCACAGCTTAAGCCCTGGCCGGTGTCGTCTTTACAGCTGCTGAGAGGCATGCAGTGACGGTGACAGCGTGGGCCACCCGAACCCGGCATCGCGGGTGCCCACCCGGGGACACGCAAGTGACAGCCGGGCCGTCTCGCGTGCCAAGCGGGGCTCTCCCATGCTTCTGTCCGATACTGCCCGCTGTCTCCCCCAGAGTGACCGCCGTCTACGTGGGGCTCGGCCCCGCTGGGGGAGGAAGGTAAGAGCCAGCGCTGTGCGGGGCCTGTCTGCCACGGGCTCTGGAGGGAGGAAGGGCTTGCGATTTGCAAAGGCAAAGGGGGAAGGGCGTTAGGGTCAGCGCTGAGGATGGCTGCAGATTTATAAACAGTGCGGGCAGAGGACGCGGAGCCTGGGACACGAAGCCTGCTCACGACAGACCCAGTGCCCAGGGCCTGGGCAGGGCGTGGCCTGGTGGCGTGCCCTCACCCGGGCGCCCTGGGCTCCGCCTGGCTGCAGCCCTGGCGTGGGGAGGGGTGGCCGCGACACGCGCTGCCCACGCTGCCCGCCTGCTGTCTCCACCCAGCAGCTGCGGAGGGGCTGGAAAGGGACAGCAGCGCCCCCAGACCGGAGCGTCTCTCACACACACACACACTCACACACACGCACGCACACACCCGCGCTCCGGCCGCCCCGGGCACCTGAGTAGAGCGCGGCGCTGAAGGCGTAGATGCACATGCCCCAGCAGCCCATGGTCACGCCGCTGTTGTACTTCTGGTACTCCTCGGACGCGTGCGGGGCCTTGGGGTCGCCCTGGAACACCACCTCGCCCATGAAGTCGGTGTAGAAGAGCAGCATCCCCTCGAAGGACAGCCAGCCTGGGAGGCACAGGGCGAGCC